CCCTTCGTCTCCTTTACACCACCCCACCCCAAACGATACATCTCCAACGCCTGAGAAGCAACCATTCTTCATCAGCTGGACAAAAATCAAACCAGCAACCTTTCTCCTTCTTCAACCCATTTCCACCCTCTCCATTTTGAATCTAGACCAGTCATCCACCACCCAAACGAAGCTCCTCTGTCAAGCGATTTCAGACCATTACTGCTGCGCTGGAAGGTGATGGATCCGGCAAGAAATTCGGCAAACCACCAAACAATAGCCAAAGGTTGAAATCCAGCATAAAACATCCCTTGTGACATCCAAAACCATCGTCCAAGCTCAGTCGAGTTGAATTCGGTGAGATCCGTTCGAAGCTTTTGATTTGAGGTCTGTTCGAGGTCGTCGTTGAGGCTCTACGATCTGGTCTAGGTCGAGTCGACTAGCTTTCCATTAGAAGATCCGAGGTCGTCGTTGAGGTTCTGATCCGGTCAGTTGGTTTCTTTCTCTGCGAATTAGTTTTCATTTTTTTTGGATTCAGAAGCTGGGTTTAGCTTCATTTGGTTATTTGTTGTTGTTTCATCAGGCAATAAAATGTTTCTCCAATTGTTCGTTTGGGTAATAGTCGTAACTTTTCGGATTCTTGTAGTATGGACCAAACGTTTATAGTAGAGTGTTTGGATTGTTTTTCTATTTTGTTGCCTTCTCATCTATTTTACTATCTTGTTACAGTAGCTATGATGTTTCTTTTCGCACTGATTTCGTTGGACCATGATTATTCATTTTTAACTTGATTTTGTTGATTGTTCTATGTGTTGTGTATTGGTTTGATTTTTAGGAAATTACTTTAGAAATATAGTACTGTATTCTAGCAAATGGTTTAAAATCCATCTTTAATGAATAACTTGTGTTGTATGCTTACAACAATTTTCTACGCATATATCAGTTTGGTGGTGGGTTTTATATTGGTAAGGATTTTAAAAATTATGGGTTGCTGGGATTATAGCTCATCAATTGCCATTTGTGTTTGGAATATTTTGGTTGGCATATACAAGTTATTCGAAGCAGTTGTTGATTCTCAAAAGCTTAAATGAACATGATAATAGGTTGTTGGCCCATCTACTTTGAAATAACTAAGGACATGCTTTTAGATTATTAATACTTTGAGGCGTGCCATGTCAAATAAAATTTCAAAACGCATGGCCCTCGCTTAATTGTTATTTTTATCCTTAGAAATTGAGGCGTGCCATTTTGTTGAACTTCCATGGCCCCCGCAAACTTGAAAGTGCGTAGTTGCTTTAGGCGCGTTATTTTAAAAATTACTTTCCTAAACTCGGGTGTGCATTTTATGTGACCCAAATATAAATCTTAACAACGTTAAATAAAATGTGTCACGGACTGTGGGTGCATTTCATGTGGCGTGGTCCAAAGACGTGTTTTAGATGACTTTAAAATCTTCCTTAAAATAATTAAAAGCGGTTTAAAGTTAAAATGCACATAGGTTTAAATGTATTTTACAATTAGATAATAGGCCAATTATAACAGTTGAGCGACCGTGCTTGAACCACGGAATCCGGGAATGCCTAACACCTTCTCCCGGGTTAACAGAATTCCTTACCCGGATTTCTGGTTCGCAGACTGTAAAATAGAGTCAATCTTTTCCTCGATTCGGGATTTAAACCGGTGACTTGGGACACCATAAATTATCCCAAGTGACGACTCTAATTTTTTTTTAATAAATGATCCCGTTTTGATTATCACTTAAATTGAAAAAAACTCCCTAATACCCTTGCGGGTGTAGGAAAAAGGAAGTGTGACAAATATTCACTGAGATAATTAAGTTGCATATAATTAAGGCATATCCATGTTAGATTTTCAATTTTGAATGGCTTTTTTTTTTTGTTGCTGATTTCTTGGCGTTTATTTGCGTCAGTCCATTTTTATCCCAGCAGAAAAGAAACTCAAAGGACAATAAGTGAGGCTTGTGTCATGATTTGTCTATATTTGGCGTCCTTTTTCTCGTCCAAATTGCGTGTGCAACATTGTTCGCTTTTACTTCTATTTCCTTGCTTTGACCAGACATATTTACGTGATTCAGATTGGATAGGGTATTGAAAATTAAAAAATTTCCATCTCAATTCAACTGTCTCATTTTACCTTGAAAGGGTTGATTTGACCAATATCTATAAGACAACAAGTCGACAGCAAACCCAATATGATTTAATTTAATTTTTTATTCTAGAACACAGTGCCACGACTTCAGTAGGTACTAGTTCACTTGGTTTTAGTCTTAAGAAATTACAAGTAGGGGCCCTATCAAAAGGAGAATGCCTTTGAAAAAACACAAATCATGTAAATGAATGCGAACCGTAGATATGATCTTATATATAAATTTTTATTAACTGTCATCAAGTAATATGTATTCTTTAAATTAATTTTCATTCTGATTAAATAATTTGATTTGATATAAGTATGGATTATGGTTAAGCCCTTTTTCATTTGAATATAAAGCGAAATTAAGGGTAGTGATGCGCGAAACATCCTGCATTCACGCAAGAAATGGAAAATGATCACATTCAAGGAGTGTGATGTAGACAACATACCTTGATTCAAGTAATATGTAGTATTATATTATCAGTGCAATACTGCCAAACATTTTCAACATTCTAAAATAGAAAAAATAATATTCTATAACTTTGCACAAGCAGAGTAAGAAACCTTTAAATTTTATATAAAACAGAACTCTTAGAGCCCTGTTGGACATAAGAAATTTTTTTCTTTTTTCAAATTTTTTTTACTTTTTTCTAAAATCAACGTTTGTTTATAAAATTTTTATTTTTTACTTCAAGATGCATTTTGAAATTTTTCGAAAATTTGAAAAACTCCAAAAAGCTGTTTTTCAAAAAATTTACTCAGATCACTCACAAAACTTTAAAAACAACCCAAATTATATTCATGTCCAAACACAACTCTAAATTTCAAATACCATTTTGTTCGATTCAAGCTCTAGAGAACAGAGAATATGAAGTGAGGAAGAAGAGAAATTAGAATTGTATTCTTCTATGTATTGTCGATCAATACAAGGTTGCACTATATTGTGTTTACCCCTAACTCCACTAACTAACTAACAGCTCACTTACAGCTGTCAAAACAACCACTAATAACTAACTAATGTCAACTAACTCAAAACAACTCCTCTCTACTTCTATTATGTACAATTTGGCCCCTTATATTCCAAGACTCCCCCTCAAGCTGGAGAGTGAAATACATTGAAAAATCCTAGCTTGGAAAGAAGAAAACAGTGTTGTGCAACACCAAGTCTTTTTGTCATGATGTCTGCCAACTGAAGCTTTGTTGAGAAATGATGAGGCATGAGCAGTCCATTTTTGATCTTCTCCTGGACAAAATGACAATCAATTTCTATATGCTTTGTTCGTTCATCAAATATAGGATTTGCTGCAATTTGGAGAGCAGCTTTGCTGTCATAGTAGAGATCAATTGGTTGTTGTAAATCAACATTCAATTCCTTTAACAACCCAACTAACCAAGTGATTTCAGCTGCTACTGCTGCAAGACTCCTATACTCAGCTTCAGCTGAGCTACCACTTATTGTCTGCTGCCTCTTGGACTTCCATGATAGCAAAAACTCCCCCAATTTTATAATATATCCAGTAATTGACCTTCGTGTATTTGGACATGCTGCCCAATCAGAATCACAGTAGGCAGTGAAATGAGAGATATGACCCCTCTTTCGGAATATACCAAGCGCAGATGAGCCTTTGATGTACCTGATTACTCTAAGTGCAGCATCCATGTGAGAATGCTTTGGATATTGCATGAACTGACTTAGCACTTGCACAACAAAACAAATATCAGGATATGTGATGGTCAAAGTGAGCAGGTTTCCCACTAACCTCTAGTTAGGGCTGTGCACGGATCAGATTGGATCGGATTTAGCACATTTTGAATTCGGATTTCGGATTCTAGAAAATGCAATCTGAATCCGATCCAAATTATATCGGATCAGATTGAATTTTAAAGTTTGGATCGGATCAAATTTCGGATCGTATTATTATGCCTCAAAGTTGCAAACTAATATGTATATTTTTTTGGTAAAAGAGGCAATACATTAAGAAATTCATGTTTATGCAATTATGAGAGTACTATGGTGCCAATATAACTAAATCTAAAAATTGTAAAGGCAATAACTTGGAGGAAGATGTAAAAGAAGTACTAACTATCCGAAATTAAAAGTTGTGTTTATCACTGCCTAATAATTTCGGATTTTGGATCGAATCGGATAAAAATATACCAGTCCGAATCCAATCTAAATTCCGAAATTTTAATAAACATAATCCGAAATCCGATCAAATCCGAAATCCGAAATTTAATAAATCAGTTCGGATTTCGGATATGCGATCCTAATGACCATTCCTACCTCTGGTAACTTGCTATATCCTGCAATTCTTCATCTCCATTGCGTCCTACATGTTTGTCATACTCTGTGGTAGTCAGTTTCTGATTTGTCTCAATAGGAGTAGAAGCAGGTTTAGCTGCAGCTAATCTTGTGGTAGAAATCAACTCCAATGCATATTTTCTTTGGTTTAGCATTAGGCCTTTATCTGATCTCATTACTTCTATACCCAAGAAATATCTAAGTTCCCCTAAATCCTTTGACCTTGAATTTGGCATGCAAAGTAATCTTGGTATCTTCTACTAAGGACATGTTTCTACCAGTGATTAAAAGATCATCAACATACACCAAGATGATAACAATGTCCTGTCCTAATTGCTTAGTAAACAAGGAATGATCATATGCACTCTGCTGGTATCCTGCTCCTACCAGGGCATCTGTGAGCTTAATGTTCCATTGTCTCGAATCCTGTTTCAAGCCATAGAGTGACTTTATTAGTATGCAGACTTTATTCTCCCCTGGATTTGGGAACCTTGTGGCAAGAGTATTACACTTCCTCATAGAAATCACCCTGTAAGAATGCGTTGTTGACATCCATTTGATATAGGATCCACTCTTTTGAGGCTGCTATGCTAAGGACAACCCTCACAGTTACCATTTTAGCAACTGGAGAAAATATTTCATGATAGTCTAACCCTTCTTGTTCAGTGTATTCTTTTGCAACCAGCCATGCCTTGAACCTCTCAACCTCACCATTTGAATTGTATTTGATTTTGCATACTCACTTAGAACCAATTGGCTTCTTACCTTCTGGCAAGTCTACCACCTCCCAGATGTGATTTTCTTCAAGTGCTTTAATCTCTTGGTTCATAACTTCTATCCACCTTGGATCATATGCAGCTTTCTTGAAAGACTGTGGCTCATTTAAGACTGAAAAAACACTAAGATAGGACTGATATACAGGAGATAGATTATCATAGGATATGGCATTACAAATTGAGTAAGGATAGTGTGTGTGTCTTAATAGTAGTAATGTAATCCTTAAGCCAAATGGAAGGCTTTCCTTGTCGACCAGACTTCATAGTTTCCACATCTACAGATGCTTGTTGAGGATGTACACTTGCTTCCTCTGTTGGTTCTAAAGAATGCTCCTGAGCTTCTGTACCTCAACTACTTGTTCAGATTCTGTTGGTTCTGAAGAATATTGCTGGGCTTCTGTTGGCTCAGCTACTTGGTCATCAATAAAATTGTCATTTATTTGATCTACACTCTTATGCTCTCCATATGATATGACATTGTCTAAAACTCTTGCATCATTTGTGGTTTCTTCTGTTGTAGCAGTAGTGTCTTCAATTTGTGGCTGTATGTTCAGAGATGTAGGTGGAATCACAGTTGGATGTGATTGTTGCATCTCTTCTGCCTCCAATGAATTTGGAGAAGTAAAAAGATCCTCTGCATCATCTGGACATGTAATATTGCTAAAAGGAAAAAATCTCCTCTTTGAACACCACATCCCTGCTAACAAATATGCTCCTATTATCAAGATCATATAGCCCATAACCCTTTTGAGTTTTTGAATATCCAATAAGAACAATCTTTCTTGCTCTGACTCTAAATTTATCACCCTTAGGTGGGTTACTTGCATAGCACAAACAACCAAATACCCTTAAGTGATCCACCTTAACTGGTTTTCCATATAATAACTCATAAGGTGATTTACCTAGTACACACTAGTGGGCAACTTGTTTATCAAATATACTGCAGTCCTTACACAATCACCCCAGAATCTTTTAGTAACTGCACTTTGAAATTTTAGGGCTCTTGCTACCTCCAAGATATGTCTGTGCTTTCGTTCAAACACCCTATTTTGTTGTGAGGTGTATGGACAACTACTCTGATGTATTATTCCAAGAGAAGCAAATAAAGTATTGCATTGAGAATTGAAGAATTCAGTACCATTATATAATCTAACAACCTTCACAGTGATTTCAAACTGAGTATTTATCATTGCAAGGAAGTTCTTTATTATAACAACTACTTCACACATAGATTGTAATAAGAATATCCAAGTAAATCTGCTATAGTCCTATAGTCATATCTACAATTGTAACAAAATAGAGTTTTCTGTCATATGTAGGTACCTTATGAGGTCCCCAAACATCCATGTGAACAAGCTGTAAACAACCACTTGACCTAGTACTACTAGTAGGAAATTGTAATCTACACTGCTTTGCCAAAGGACATACTTCACAATTGTCCTGCACTCCAGTGTGTATTTTGTTCCTCAATGCTGAAATATGTTCCATAGACTATCACGACCCGGATTTTCCATCCTATGGAGTCGTGATGGCGCCTACTCATAGAAGCTAGGCAAGCCACGAAATGCGAAAAATTCAACATCCTCCATTTTAGCCTTTTTAACCAATTAAATTAGCAGGTAATCGGTATTTAAATAATGACGAAAGATGAAATTTAAGCGGAAGACTTAGATAAATATTATACCCAAACCGATACGAATAAAAATCAACATATATCTCTACCCAGAACTGGTATCACAACATTCACGGACTGTCTAGGAATGCTACATACAAGTGTCTGAAAAAGGAAATATAGTCTATCTCGGATATAAAAGAAAATAGAACATCTAAATGGATAGACGAGACGCCGGGCCTGCGGATGCTTGCAGGGCTACCTCTGTGTCTCGGTGGACTGAAGGTTGCACTCTAACTACTGTCCAAAAGCTGCTTCGGGATCTGCATACAATGCAGAGTGTAGTATCAGCACAACCGACCCCATGTGCTGGTAAGTATTTGGCCTAACCCCGGTGAGGTAGTGACGAGGCTAGGACCAGACTCCAGATAAACCTATGCAATTATGTATATATATACAGCGGAAAGATAGACGGAAACAAACAATTAAAAATGGGGAGGGGAAACATGCTTCGGGGAATAACAGATAAGGCAGAATATCAATAAAATTGTAAGGAAACCAAAATTTAACTTCTAATAAGGATAAGGAAAATAAAGTCAAATTTCACTTTCAGTTTACATCTTGTTGCAGGCGTGCAACCCGATCCCATTTCTCATATCTTGTGGTAGGCGTACCACCCGCTCCCATTTCATTAAATCTTGTGGTAGGCGTACTGATCACTGCAAACTCAACGCTACACTAAGGTAGGAAGAGCGGGTCACAATAGCTTTTACCCGATATGAGGGTCAGGATCGAATTCCTCAGGGAGCT